AACATTGCCAAATAAGGATGTTTCTAATATAGTGGTGACTAAACCTGTGAGATTGGACTCACACATACCAAATTTATATACAATCCTATCATCATCTAAAACAGCTGCCTTTGTATACATACCATACATTAAAAGTTTTAACTAGATTAATCTGTTCATTATTGTATTATAAAGGTGGCCTGTTAAACACCTCAAAAATAAAAGCGAAAGAAAGAGAGGCTTTGCTACACATTATAGTTCTGTAATTCTCAGTTGTGAGCTCAGAGTATCATAATAGAGACATTACACATACATTGCACAGAAGATGTTTTACTGATAGTGTAGCAGTGATAGTGTTTTATTTTAATTTAATTTGTGGATATATGTGTTATACCACTATATAGGAAGAGACGCACATTTTAAACTAAATCTGTGTTTAATTTCAAGCCTTAAAATTGATTGTTGATCTGCCAGTAGAGTTTATTTTGCATCCAACATATCAGATGTCAAATGGTATAACAACATGATGCAGATTTTATGTCAACTTAATGAAGAGGTAACTATTTCCATGCATGTTAAAATCTATGCTATAAGTACTGCAAGGCTTACTGTAATGATAACTTCAAGAAACAAAAAATAATTGTTGAAACCATGAGTAATATTTCTTATTTTGTAGAACTGATGCTTCAGCACATATGAAAAGTATTTTATTGTGGTTTTACTTTAAAAAACACTTAAAAGTGGTGCATTTTGAAACTGAAAAAATAAAATGCATATATATACTTTATATACAGTTCTATTTTTTATTTAATGTAAAAGAATTAAAAGTTGTTTATTTTTTAAAAACCTGGTCCATACTAGATGTCATGTGCCAACCATTATACATGTAAGGTAAGTGAATTATGAATGACTATGTTATGTATAAATGTAGTTTCACTGTAGGAGAAGCACTCCTCAAAAGAAGTGACATCGCTTGTCAGGTTAGTGATATACTTCTTATATGTAAAATAATAAAAAGAAGTTTTCTCTTTAAACACCTGTTGCAAAATTTTTATAATACAAAGCAAAGTAAATCTCAAAGTCTAAGCTATAGGAAAAGACCACAAACTTCATAAAAAGACAGCTGTTAGTCCTTTTGAGCTACAGAATATTCTGTATAGTTTTGTAATCATATCTTTTTTAAAAAAAAAATCATTTAGAGTTTGATATGTGTGGATAAACTGATTTCTCTAGGAAAACATTTGAGAAATTGTTATAGTATATTATTCCCTAGGACATATTTTCAAAATAGATCAAAACATGTTCTTAAAGCAAGACATGTTTCATTTTCTTCTGAAGTCAAGATGATAACGAAGATTAAAGAAAGATAACATAAAAAAAAAGTAGGAATCTTCCTTTAGGACACTATATGTTACAGATGTTAAAAAATTACCTTTATATTTAAGCAGTTTTCTGTAGGGAAATTCTATGGATATCTATTGTTACAAGAAATTTAAGTAAAAATTATCTATGAAGTACCATTGACATACATACCTTTTATTGATTAGCAGAAGTCTTTATTGATTAGCTGAAGTCTTTTGTCTGATGTAAGTTAGTGATCTGAAACTTTATGAAGTATTTTTCTCACATTCCTTTTGGATATATTTTCTGACTTGCAGTTCTCTACTACATTTATGATATCTGTTGAAGAGCATGTTAAATTTAAAGACTTTTTTACTGTATTTGTCTTACTCTTTCTGTTTACATTTAAGAACTATGCTTCAGAAGTTCTGCTTTTGTTAGACCTACTTGTTTCATATTAGCAAACATTACTTAGTTTTTCAATATTCTGTATTTCAGTATGATGTGCACAATTTAGCAAAATATCTTACTCTGGAAAGGGTTGGTTCAAAGTCCTTTACAGTGTCAAAACTGTCATTTGAAAGAGATGGGCTTGGGCGGCACAGTTAAGATCTGGATGGGAGCCAAAGCTTCACTGGAATTGAGAGGCATGTGGGAGGTGGATACTGTAGTTTGATTTACTAGGTGCTCTAACTTGTAACTTCCATGTTAGCGCCAGTTGGCACTGCTCATGCACTCCAGCTTCTGTTGCAGCTACATGGTAGCTCAACCCTCCTAATTTCTGTGCAGCTGGGTTCATCCCTGATTTGATTAATAGTAAATCTGTATTCACTGGTTCAAAAGAATCCATTGTTATCATATGATTTAAATTCCTGCATACCATAGGGTGTATTCTTTGATCTTTTTCTTGCTTTTAGTCTAGCAGCTGTGACTGAAATAGAGCTTATCTTTTAGAAAAACATCCAGTCTTGACTGAAAAATTTCCACTGCTGGAAAACTTATCATCACTCTAAGTAATTTCTTCCAAAGGATAATTAACCACACAATGGAAAACTTACACTTTACTCCTCATCTAAATTTTAGTACATTAACTTCAAATCATTAAATCTCTGTGCTAGACTGTAGAGTTCTCTGTGATCACGTTCCTATTTCTCACAGATTTATTTATTCAGTATGAATAAATCATACCTTAATTTACTTTTTAATAAACTAAATAGTGCTTCTCATGTCTGTCTTAATGCAACCACTTTCCAGTCTTACAATCATTTTTATTTCTCTTCTCTGAATCATCTCCATATTTTCACTTTCCTTCTAGAACTGTAAAAAAGGAAATTAGACACAGAATTTCAGTAGTAGTTGCATGCGTGCCTAAAAAGAGATAATACCTATGTTCCTATCCAGTACTTTTAATTATACATCCCCAAATTCATTCTTTTAATCAAATGTTACAGTGTAATCTCAAATTCATATTCAACATCTCAAGTCTTTTTATATACTCTGGTTTCCAGGATAGAACTGCTATATTGAGCTATGTCCTGTTTTCATTATTTGTAAGTGTATGACCTTAAATTTAGACATAAAAGAAACTGTATCGGGTAGATCAAAAGACTATGTGTCCCAATTATCTGACTGCAACAGGAGGGGAGACATGATCGGGATGGAAGTTTTCTGTGGTTGAAGTTCATCTTTTGCACTCCAGATGTCCTGACCTCTGATTTCCACAAATGTGGGAAACCTGACTACATAACTTGTAGTAGTGTGAAACTCTCTTCCTGTTCTACCAAGCAGAAGAAACCCAGGACCATAAGTGAATGCCAGGACTAAGTAAGAACAGGGCAAACACACAGCTTTCTAATACTCTCCAAGCTGCCACTTGTTTTTAGCTCAGGGAGTTGAAAAGTGAATGAGATATTTATGGTTTTACTGACCTTCAATGAAAACTTCTAACTTTCACAGAATCCTTTCACAGCTAGTTCCACTAGTCTGTTACCTTATTTGAAGAACCAACTCCCTTTATTTTTAACCTGAATCCTATTATATCTCATTATTAAAAGATATTATATCTGTATTAAAAGAGACATTGGATAGTCAATCCCTATCTATTGTGCTCAGTGCCATCCCTAACATTGTAGATGTCTACTATATCCCTTCAGGCATCCCTCTTCTAGACTGAAAAAACCTTGAATTATCTTTGCTCCTCTTCTCTGAAAGCTTTCCAGTGCTATAGTAACCTTCCTGAAACAGAGGCTGCAGATCTGCATGAAGTTTTTAAGGTGTATGTGAATCATGGATTTATACTGCGGTATAGTGACATTCTCTGTTCACTATTTTTTCCAAATAAGTCCTAATATTCCATTTGTTTTTTGATTGCCATCTAGCCTAACCTCAGGATATAATTTCTGATTTTTAATGGTCAGCTGAAAAACTATAATTTCATCTATGGAGTTAGGATTGTTTTCTCTGATGTGCATCACTTCTCATTTTCTCATTTGCTGTTTTATTGCCCTCTTAGTCTTAGTAAGTTCTTAGCAATTTGTCACAACTGGTCTTCAATCATAATATCATCAACAAACTTTGTCACATAACTAGTCCTTCCATTTTTCAGGGTGTTTACGAGTATGTTGAATTGCATCATTTCAACACAGATCCGTGGAACTCCACTAAATCACATCCCTTTATTGAACTATTTGCTCCTATCGTCAGTTTCCTGTCCTTTAGTCATTCTTTTCAATTCATGCAATGACCTTTCCTCTCATAATATAGTGGCTTAGTTTCTTTAAAAGCAATCAGGGAGGGACTTTGTCAAAATCCTTATGGAGTACAGTTAGACATATCAACTAGATCACCATTGCTGCAAGCTTGGTAAGTGTTGTAAGGTAGGACTTCTCTTAACAGATCCATGGTGACTCTAAGTATATGACATTGGTGCAAGAATATCATATTTAGACAGATGCCTGCTAATTCTGTTCCTTATTACAGTCTACCAATTTGTCCAGCACAGATATTTGGCTAAAAGGCCTTGGATAACCCTTGCAGTCTTCTCAAGTTGATGTCACATTTGTTGTTTCCCAGGACATTGGTAACAGGGCAGTTTAAAGCAAGAGGATACATGCCACTTCTTCTGAATCAAGTATTTTACCCTGTTTCCTTTATAACTCAGTTGAATACTATCTAATAATGGCAATTAGTTATTGTTCACCATGTGAGGGGTCTTTTTATAAAAACTTTCTGCAGTAGCTTCAGTTTCAGAAAAATCCTCTGAAATGTCCACAATGGAAGATTCCCATTGGAATCTCATCAGTTTCTTCCAGAGTGAATACCAATGCAAAGAATGCAGATAGCTTTTCTGAAATGTCTGTATCTTAACTGTATGTTCTTTTGCTATCTGCAAACACTCATACAAAACTCACAATACTTGACTACCTAATTTACTAGTCCATTCACATCAAGCCATATTAGTCATTTGTCACCTGTGCTGTTCACTCTCACTTCAATCTTTATGCCATTTGCAGACTATCAATAATTCAATTTCTTACTATGTCTGTGTTATTTAACACCATAACATCAAAATAATCTACCATGTTTTTTCTTTAGTAGTAGTTTTACTAGTACTAGTAGAAGAGATTAAGTTTTATATTAAATGCACTTTAGACATTTGTTAATTATTTGCTTTATTTTAGGGAGGTAATCCAACAGCTACTGTAATCGCATTGTGTTCAATGAGAGATTTCAATCTGGCTCAAGAAACTTGTCAGCTGGCCATCAGAGACATTGGATGTCTTGAAGTGTTAATTAATTTACTTGATACAGAAGAAATTAAATGTCAGGTAAGTAGCTTTGTTGAATAGAGCAATGAATGCACCTTTTCTATTAGACTTTTTTTTTCAATTTGCAAAGTTATATAGTATAAAGAAAATTTGATTTCTTTCTCATTTCTGTATTTTCTCAGTTTCAAGGTTTTTTTAGAAAATCAATTTCTTTGACTTTCAGTTTCCTTCTTTTCTTCTGATTCAATATAAAAGATAAAATGCATTATGTAACCCAGCATTTTAAATAATTTGTCTGTTTATGTATACTCTAAATAATGTTTAACTTATGTTATCTTCCATTATTTAGATTGGTTCATTAAAAATCTTGAAGGAAATTAGTCAAAATACACTGATCAGACATGCAATTGCAGATCTTGGGGGCTTACAGATCATGGTGAAAATACTGGACTCTCCAGATAAAGATCTAAAATGTTTGGCAGCTGAAACAATTGCTAATGTTGCTAGATTTAAACAAGCACGAAGGACAGTAAGGCAGCATGGAGGTATCAAGAGATTGGTAAGCAGACATTAAAACTTGTACCCTTGTTATATGCATATTTTTGTACAAAAAATACATTATGTGTTTTATACATGATTCTTGTAGAGATTACCGTCATTAAAAAGAAGTATAATATCAAACTTCCCTATAGATAATTGAAAAAATTGGTCTTTTAGGTGGGGCTGTTGGAATGTATTTCAGTGGGATCAACCAGTTTAACACCATACCAATCAAAAGATACTGAAATAGCACGCTGTGGGGCTTTGGCACTCTGGAGCTGCAGCAAAAGCACCAAAAATAAAGAAGCAATCCGTAAAGCTGGTGGCATTCCATTATTAGCTAGATGGCTCAATTCTTCACATGCAAACATCTTAACCCCAGTAGTGGGGACACTACAAGAATGTGCCTCAGAGGTAAGTAAACACATACAGGTAAGTTATTTCTAATCATTAAAACAATTTGCTACTAGAAGGAAGCATTATGTTTGACTGTCACTTAAACCAATGCAGTTACCCCATCAGGAAGTAGATGCTTTCTGTGGTCAAAGTGTTTTTGAGAAAGTCACAGCTTGTAATGAAGTAAAGACCACATATTTTTTATTTAAAATGCTGGGAGTAGTCTTTTGAAAGAAGATATATAGAAATGAAATCCTTAACCAGTTTCAAATTTTTCTAATTTTTTTCATCCTGCTTGACAAATTTGGCAACTTAAGATGCTATATTCTGGTTAATCAGGACATTTAAATTCTACAAAGCTAACCTGCAGGTGTGGCCAAGAAGATCCAATGCAGTGCCGGGCAGTGTGGTTTACAATGTCCTTGTGAATTGGGTAAGACAGTGTCTGACTGATTGCAAACAGAAGAAAGGAATATATGTGATTTTTCTACAGATTTCCTTGGCAGGTTTCACAATTTTGAGTATATTTACTCAATTTTGAGTATATTTACTTGTTTACAGTTTTTAAATTTGAATGCAAGTATTTTTTACCATTGCCATATAAGATGAGTGGTTATTTCTCCATTTGTGGAATCATATTTGAAATTAAGGTGCATTACACTAAAGGTCAAAAATATACATAAGTTCTCTTGCTTGGTGAATTTGAGACATGGAAGACATGATTTTTCAAAAGATTATACATTATAAAACACTTTGTATTTTCAAACTTAGCTTCTTGAACTACACAAGTTTATGCATGCTCTACGAGACAGCAACCTGGCAGATTTTAGCTTCAGTAAGTCTATATTGAGAAGGTGAGGTTTTTGAGGGTTTTTTATCTGGCCAAATTTGGAAATAACACTAAATGCATCTCTTACACAGATGTTTCCCCTCTCTCAAATAATGGTCCCCTGTTACAATGCCTGTGGGTTAAAATTTGGAAGAAAAAGTCACTAAAAAAATTTAATTCTAAGAAGGTTTTTCTAACCTTGTTCTAGGAATAGATCTGTTGTTTTGGCTGCTGGCTCTCGATGAAGTGAATGGGTACTTCTTGATCCCATTCTGAAGCATCTTTTTTTTTCCTTGGCTCTGAGCAGGGAGTCTGGACACCTTTCAGAATATTCTGAATTCTGTTTAAGCCAGGTGGCTACAAAAGAGGCATTGCAGCACCTGGTTTTACAGGTGATTTCAAGAGCACTGCAGAGAATTTATGTGTTTGATTAACTTTGAGAACATCAATAGTATTTTCAAGGCAATGTAGATGACTTGTGCTTAAAATAAAGTACAAGGCTTCTCAATATCAAAGCCTAGAATTGTAGCACTGTATTATTATTGTGACTAGTATTATTAACTGTTAATATACAGGATTTAAAAGATACAGTTTATCTTTTTTAGCCAAGTTACAGACTTGCAATAAGGACAGAAGGAATGATTGAGAACCTTGTGAAAAATCTGAGTAGTGAACATGAGGAGCTTCAGATGCATTGTGCAAGTGCCATATTTAAGGTAATTGTATTATTATGATCAGTAGAACGGAGCCAGGATTAGCCCTTTGTTTTCATGTGGTTGTCAGATTTAATATTTCTTAGTTTTACTATTTCTCTAATGTGTAAGAAATTACTTTATAAAAATAGTCTTTGGATGGTCTTTGGATAATTCTTAGGAGAATATTTTGGCTGCATATTTAATATTGTAATTAAGTTCCTACTTGCTCTTCTTGTGTGCAAGCCCTAAATTGCACAGGCAACCAATGGAGAGAGGCAGGACATACCGTGCAAAGAGCTGCTTTTGTTTTTTATGTTTGTTTGCCCACAAGGTGGTCAATGTGACAGTATAAGCACTGCTGCATACACAGTAGCAGTTTACTGTCAAACTATCTTGGTGAGTTGATAGCATATTCAGATACTTTAATAAAATATTTATGTTTTCTTCTGTATTAGCTTTTACTAGTTACAAAATAATACACCTGGCTTTTGAAAGCATCATTTTACACATTTAACATAATACATATATTTAATTTTTTTGTATAGTGTGCGGAAGATAAAGAAACACGTGACCTGGTTAGACAGCATGGAGGTCTACAACCACTGTCTGTTCTGCTTGGTAACTCTGAAAACAAACAACTTCTAGCAGCTGTGACAGGAGCAATCTGGAAATGTGCAATCAGTGGAGAAAATGTGTCAAAGTAACAATTTAATTTTGCAAACATTTATTACATTATCATGTTTTGATTTTATGGGCCTCTGTTGTTTTCAAAATTGTTATGTCATCATTCTTCAAAACCATACTTTATAATCAGTTGGGCTTTCAACTTAAGTTTTATAGTACTTAAAAAATTGCCACCTGACCTTATCAGGGTACAGTGGAGACAGTGTTAAGTTCCTAGAATCTTAAGAGTCAATAGGGACAATTGGTGCCTCTAAAGAATAGTTAAGATATAGGACACTGAGTCAGGAGGTGTACTAGCACATACTAAATGTTTGACACATGGGTGTATCTGATGTCCCCGCTCCTCTCTGTAGCTTACAAATCAGAATCACTGCTGCATGGCAGAGAGAGTAGTTAGCACTCTTAGCTTTAACATTTTACATCAGGAGAGACAGAGAGCAAATTATCTCATTCTAGGGTATATATCCAATACATGTTAGGTCACCTACTTTGGAAGTATACTGGAATCTAGGATACTTAGCCTAGATGCCTCTCTCCTTGACTACAGAAGGGTCTCAGAAAAGTAGCTTAGTCTGGACACCCAGCTTCTATATGAGTGGAATTAACTGATGAGAGTCCTACCATAGGTACCTACAACCTCTCAGTATCGGGGTCCTGACTGATTATCTGAGAATGTGACAACAGGAGTTATCACCCTCCACCTTTCATGGAACAGCTTAATGATTGAGAATACTCAATTACCTCATCTAAAATTCATTTATCAGATTCATGCACCTTACCTCAAAAAAAAGCCTGCTCCACTGGAGTATCTGGTAGGTTTCCTGCTAAAGTTGTGCTGCTCTGTACAGAGGAATGTAAGATTCATAGGCTCGAAAGAGTATCAGTAAGAGCTAACCTCTTCTTGCAGTCCTAATTTTAGTGTACCTTGCTGGACAAGCAGATGCAATAGATAACTGCTGGATAAAAATCAGAAAGAATTCCAGTAATAAGGGTTTGCAGTCTGGCTTTTTACTGTCCTAAATGAGTTCCCAAACTGTTAGTATACAAAGCCGTGGTCTTTACATACTCTACTGCTGCCCTACTGCTTTTTGCATTCTTGATTGCACAGTAAACTGGCTTTTCAGAAGGGTATGTCCTTCTTTTCTGTGGGCTTTGGGTATCTGCACAGAGGCATCCTGGTTCTGGATCAATCAGTGATGAGATGGACTGAATGGCTCTCTCTATACTAGTAAAATAAACAGGGCCAAACCTTTCAGAGTTCAGGCACTATGTTATGATTAGCCATACTGTTTAACTGCTAGCACAGTCCCTTACACAGTTTGGCCTGTGCCAGCAAGCACTCTCCCAGACAATGCCCAGACACTCCTTGGGAACAGCACAGGCAACAGATTGTTTCCATTAGGCAGAATGGGTGAGGCCACCCTGAATTGTGAGGATAAGAGATTTTAGGCCATATGGATGCTATGTTGTGCTTCTTGTCCTTAGGGCTAGAGAATGAGCCCTCGCCTGTTTTATTTATTAGTATAGCTGTAGCCAATAATTCTGTCCAAATGCAAACAGATTTTTGCTGGGCTACTCACATATCTTTGGCAAGTGCTTGATGCTCCACGAAGGTTACTAGCCAGGCGCAGCTCCAGGCTTGAGCTGAATTAATGTATTATGTAGTGCTGAGTCTGAAGCAGTAAGCCCTATCCAAACTCAAGATGGGGGGGCACTACAGAGCAGGGAGGGAGGATAATATGAAAACACATAAGTAGATCTGGAGGGATGAGCTTGAGTCTGGCATGAAGCTAGAACTAACAAACCCTGCTGGTTCCTGCAGGGCCACTTAATTATCTTTGAACTACTCCACAGTATTTCCTATACCTGAAGTACATTGCTGAGATGTTGTGCTGACTCAGCAATGAGCTGATACAGGTGCCTGGGCCTGACTAGCTCAGATTCCAGTTTGTGTGCAAGCAGCCGTACTGCTTCTGGACACAAGATGGCCCGAGCCAACAGCTCTGTCAGAGTGTAGCCTGCCCATTGCAGAGCCAGCTCGTATAGTTCCATGTGTGAAGCAGTTGATATGCAACACAGATAAAGTAGCCAGAGAAAATCAGGGTTGTTTTTTAAATTGTTTGCTTACTTTATAGCTCATTTTTCATGCTGTTGATGTTTTCTCTTGAAAAGAAATTATAGGGATACTTCCAAATTACAGTGAACAAAGAGAGGAAGATGCCTCTTTAAGCAAAGGCTTGAATGATGAAATAGGAGAGTTTCTCATTTCTCAGTCACTTTAATCGTTATACTGATAAACCAGATTGGAAAGATTAACTTTTGCTGAAACAGTTCTAGTTCTGTCATCGAAATCTCAAAAAGTCTTATTTCTTTGTATGAAAGGAAAGCCACATGTACAACTGATTCCTGGAAAATACAGAGTATTTGTAACTCAAGTAGACATTTCCAGAAGCTAGGGGCCTTGGGGGAAGCACAAATGAGAACTCTACCCTCAGAGAAATTATCTCTTTAGGGGAGGAACTATGTGTATTTACAAAAAGGTATAAATCATTCGATAATATACAGGTTAGATCTAGCTTGATATACCATGTGGAATTGTCAAGGTGTATTATCGAAAATGTATGAAAGGAAGATACAGTATTTGTTAAGTGTTAAGACTCCTCTTAAGTTCTGAACAAAACAAACTTAGAAGATGACCCCAGTACTGAGGAATAAAGTCCTATTCTGAAAGATGAACTTCGGAGGTTTAGCATGCATCTGTTTGTAGGATAGGACCTCCAGGATTTTTAAAAACATATTTTTGATTTTCAGTACCAGAAGTGCTATGAAGAATGAGGGAAGTATTAATATGGCAGTCAACTCAAATTTCTGTCAACTTACTTCTTAATTTCAAAATGGAATCTAACATAGTACAATAGAAGTGTACTAGAACTATAGGTGTGACCTTAGGAAAATGCACGTATTAGGCCTGAACTAAGTATAGAAGTAATCAGGGCAAACTCTCTAAAGGCTAAGATTTAGTGAAAAGTAAGGGTGACCCTTTGGTCCAGAGAGCTGGAGGAGAGCCTGATACACTACTACTTTAGCTATTGTTAACATGGCAGGAAAAAGTACTGGAAGTTAGGATGCCACAGTACTTGCCAGTCTTCCAGTATGTTTTCAGCTATTTATATATGTTGCATCCACATGTCAAGTTTTAAAAAACCCTCAAACTACCCTGGAGATTCCTAGATAGCTAAATTAGAGAAATGTATTTAAAAAGGTAGAATAAGAAATTATGCTGTATGTCACACTTTCAAGAACTGATCAGAATGGTTTACCTATATTGTGATTTCTTCAACAAGGTAATTTACACACAGAAATTAAACATTGTAATTCAATTAGAATGATACTTTAATTATAAAATTAAACTTATAACAGTAACATACTGAAAATAATGACTTTGGTTTTATTGCTGTCTTTTAGATTTCGGGAATATAAAGCCATAGAAGCTTTGGTAGGACTGCTTAGTGATCAGCCTGAAGAAGTCCTTGTAAATATTGTCGGGGCACTGGGAGAATGTTGCCAAGAGCAAATAAATCGAACTATTATCCGTAAATGTGGTGGCATACCACCTCTAGTGAAGTTACTTACTGGCACTGATCAAGCACTACTTGTGAATGTCACCAAAGCAGTGGGAGCTTGTGCAACAGAACCTGAAAATATGATGTAAGCTTTTCATGTTCATAGTATTTTAAATATTGAAAAAAAATGTTTAGTAATTCTGGCACAAATACAGTCAATTCTAATCTGACTTAAAATGATATTTTACTTTTTGTTTTCCACAGGGCTGTGTGGGTTAGTTACATCCAACTGTAAAATATACTATATATATATATTAAAAAAAAAATCATTAAGGAAATATATAGAATGTAAAGCCTTTGCGTTTTGGGGAAAATCAGATAAACTGTTAGAAAATAGATTTTTTATTAAAATTCAAAGTTACAGAGCACCATTTTTAAGTGCTGTATGCTAGGTACCTGTTTTGCCTTCTCCTTTTACATCTGTTCTCAGATCCTAAATAATAGCCTAAATTAGAGAAAGTAATTCTAAAAGGAAATGTGCACATTTACTGTCATGGAAAATAATTTGAAAATTTTTAAAGTAGGGTATTATTTGTATTTTATCTGTTTTGTCCCTCTCCATCATTCCTTTTATTAACTCAGCTTTTTTGGGACCCTTTTCTCCCTTTTTACTCCTTTGCAAAACCAAAGGAGACAACTGTCTTTTTACTGAGAGAGTTGCTGCTCTCTTTGGTTTTGTGATGTAGATTTGTACAGCTTACAAAGATCCTTGAGTTTTATGATTAAGTGTTCCAGTTAAATGTTGAGGTCGGCATTTACTGTGCTTACTGTTCTCTTACAGGGATATTTACCTCAACATTCTCAGCATATTTCCCTCCTTATACATAAGGAAGGTCAGAAAGAGAGTTTTATTAAGCTCCTCCTGTTCTGATTTGCATAATTCACTTGATATTCATATAGCAGTGCAGGGAATTCTTTTCCTGAATAGGGCTTTTGTTTTCATGCTTTGGCTGTCACCCAGTGGCAAAAGGCTAGATGGTACACAACTGTAAACATGGGTTGTATGAACAGTTAGCCATGTAGCATAAAAGTATAAATAAATGAAATCACTTTCATGACATATCACACTAAAAATCAGCCTTTAGAGTAATGTATTAACCTAACAGAATTAACACTGTAAATCAACTGAGAAATTGAAATGCCAACAAATATAAATTGATATTTGTAAAACCTCAGGCATACTCCAGTACTCAGGACTGTCACTTGTAGTATCCGGTATGGATAGCTTCATACTGGAACATGGTCAGTACAAGCATGAAAAATAACACAAGTTGCTGCTAAAATTGTGATAGAACAAAGTCCTCTTGTTTTTAAGGAGAAGAGAGTACAGGTTGTTTGGGACAAAATGCGAAGAGCGGACAAAGGAATCAAATGTCAAATTTGGTTCATATGAAAATACTCTCTCTTGAAGGTTCTCAACTTTTAAAATATTTTCAAAAATATTTTAAAACATTAACAAGTAAGCAAGATCTTAGATCAAGAGTAGAATATACTTTTTACTACTACTACAAAAAAAGTTACACAGAAATGATTATTATTGTTATCATCATCAAGACTGTGACGTGTACCTGATGTACTATGCTAGTTAGTGTCGTGGTTTAACCCCAGCCAGCAACTAAGCACCACGCAGCTGCTCACTCACTCCCCCACCCCGCCCAGTGCGATGGGGGAGAAAATCGGGAAAAGAAATAAAACCTGTGGGTTGAGATAAGAACGGTTTAATAGAACAGAAAAGAAGAAACTAATAATGATAACACTAATAAAATGACAACAGCAATAATGAAAGGATTGGAATGTACAAATGATGCGCAGTGCAATTGCTCACCACCCGCCGATCGACACCCAGCTAGTCCCCGCGCGGCGATCCCCCCCCCCCACTCCCCCCAGTTTATACACTAGATGGGACGTCCCATGGTATGGAATACCCCTTTGGCCAGTTTGGGTCAGCTGCCCTGGCTCTGTCCTGTGCCAGCTTCTTGTGCCCCTCCAGCTTTCTCGCTGGCTGGGCATGAGAAGCTGAAAAATCCTTGACTTTAATCTAAACACTACTTAGCAACAACTGAAAACATCAGTGTTATCAACATTCTTCGCATACTGAACTCAAAACATAGCACCTACCAGCTACTAGGAAGACAATTAACTCTATCCCAGCTGAAACCAGGACAGTTAGACTTGTAGTACTACAAGAGATAATGCTGCTGTCTTTTCCCAAGGCATGATTCATCCTGGTGTGGATAAGTTTGATACCAATCCAGCAAAATATTTAAAAACAATGCTTAGTTGAAACATTGACACCAGTGCAACTATTCACATGTTTAAATGATTTGCTTGGTTGAGCGCCCAGCTTCTCACAGTGTTAAGAGCACTTAAGAGCACCCTCCCCACACCAAAAAAGGGACATCCATTCCTCTCCCTTTTCCTCCTCTCAGACCAGTACAGCGAGAATTGAAATTGTAGCTCCTCATCCAAACTGCTGCCCTTCTTTTGGGGAAGAGTAAGTCACCAAAGACATGAAGGATACATTGTCTGTAGTATCACTTTGTTCCATTTACAGAATTTGGGACCAGAACAAAAAGTAGCCTTTTAGAAACTACTGTGGAGTTCATTCTCTTTCTGTATCATAACAAGGATGTGGAGATATGCTAAGGTTGTCTTGTAGAAAGAAGCAAAGCAAAGCCACTTGTAGCCTTTGAGTATATATAGGTGATGAGGACTTCCTATTGCAGGTTGATACGTAGCTGGTTTTGGTCTTCCTGGTTCATCTGGCTGGATCCCTATTACATGCCCTATTTCATAATCACTTATTCCTTAGAAAGGCTTCACAGGTTCTAGGAGATCAGTTGTTCTCTACCATTAGCTTTTCTCCTGACAAATTTGGCTGGCAGGCAAATTTGAGTCTTGTTTTCTTTGTCATCTGGTAAGAGTTACATTTAAAGAGTTACAGTTTTTAGTTTGGCACTATAGAAACTCTGAAAACTATGATGATTTTTCTGGATTCTGCTATCATTGACTTTCATATGTACTAGAAACCCAGAACAAAGCAGGAAAATTTAAAGGGAGTATCAAGCCCTCATAAAGATTGAGAATTTTCAGATATATTCTTACATTTCATTAGCTGCATGTGTGTTTGACAAAGGGTGGCTTAGAGACTAAATATTCAGTTGAGCAGTCTTCTATTTTGAACGTGGTTATACTTGCAGCAGTATGTATGTGGAAACCATACAGACCAAAAGAGGAGCTCATGTAGTTTTTGTGAATGATTCAAAGGTATGTAATGATGAGGATGCTCATATAAGGAATAAAATATTATTATGGATTATAAAAAACTGAGAGTGTTCTATGAAGCAGTGCGGTTAACTTCTGAGGGAAATATTGTACATTTATCACATGTTGCATGGAGGAAGCCTGCACTGACAAAGAGAGACTAGTAGATTGGCATAGGTAAATCTACAGCTTCTATATGTCTTTTATATATTTTATCTCCACCATGTTTCTTAGTTGACACTTTAACTTCTACAACTACTGAGTGGAAGATACAATAGTGTTACTTTTCTGCACCAAGCCTTTACTTTAAGGCAACTTCAAGCAATCAGGTGATTCTTATTGACTCTATTGAGCTATGTAAAACAAAGAACAGCAGCCAGCTTCTCTCACAGCAAAAAATAAATAAGTTGGCTTATCTTAAAAAAAAAGCATAACTATTTGACTGAACTTCCTTACTATTATGTGGACAGCATGAAGTTGTTCTCCATACTCAGTCTGCTGCACAGCCAGTGACAGAGATGCTGCTGTACATCTTTTATGTATATTTGTGTTTCTGAGGAACTTTTTACAAGTTATTCTTTTTTCTCTTATTAAAAACAGGGGACTAGTGCTTATTCTTTAACTGCCACTAGATTTTCATTTGCCCTTTTCATTTGAAAACCCATAGACTTCATCTCTAGCATTCAAAACTGAGGGTTTAGAATCTTATAAACTAAAATGTACAATTATTTTAGCCAAACAGATGCAGTTTGAGTCATTGGTATATAATACTATTTATCAAAGCAGTCCACAGCAACTAGTGAAAGTTTTAAGAAACATGCTACATTGTGGTTTCAAGAAAGACGAGATTACATTCTGCCAGAATTAAACCCTGTAATCTTACCAGTGAGCACAATACAGAGTCAGTATAACTTTGTTTATTTACATTTGTATTTGTGGTCTAAATTGGCAGGCAATTAAACTAGAGTCCTCAAAAGTTCTGGCAAATAACACTGTAACAGAGAAAGATGATAGATATAACAAACAGATGTCTAGGCTATGTGTGTATGTGTGTTTAAGCAATTCATGTTGAAGTTTCTACTGGAAACGTTCAATATTAAGTTTGAATTTGAAAGAGAAGTACTATTTCAGATTAACAGCTCTGCTAGTTTCAGATATGTATTAAAAAAAGCAAAGTAAATTTCTAGAATTGTGACCCACACATTGCACAGACATATCATGATATTCAGTGATGTCCTGATATCAAGGTTCTTAAATGAAATAATGTGAAAAGTCTTTATTAAACAACTGTTGACTGTACACAGACAACAGAAGTCATTAAAAAAAATTATCTTGTTAAATTATCTGCACTGGTCAAATAGCAAATAACAATTCACTGTAACCTAGACATTCCAGCAATCTCTGGGTGGGTTTAACTGCATTAAAATTATTTGCCCATAAGACATATTCTATATACACCATACATCAGCTGTTCTGAGTGGAAACCAGGAAGATGATTTGCTCATACACCTTGCAGTTGTCTTTTTCTAGGAGTGATGTCAGCTGCATACCCCTTCACCTCTGCTTTAATCATATCTGGCCAGCACAGGAGTGCATGATAGGAGCGCCTCTTCACTCCAGCTATTTCTAACTGCCAATACAACTACTCTTGGTTATTTTGAGGAGCAGAATAATCTACACCTTGTTCTAAATTGTATCAGTGATTAAATAAGAACAGTCTACAACAAGGCACAGAGCTTTGAATCAGAAGAGGTGGCCACTGGCCATGTTGGTACAGGTCTATTGTGAGATGCCTCTGCTGTGTTAAGGTATAGAGCCACAATAGTTGAGAATCTGGGATCTTGCTTCTGAACTCTGCATATATATATATTGTTATGTACTTATAGAGAAGCAGCAGACAGCAATTACCTATAATAAAGTTTAGATTTCTACTTTGGGTGACTTTCATGCCTGTTAAGATTTTGACTGTTAATAGTGTTCTGTACATTAGATACATTACATACATGCAGATCAGCTATTCTATAAAGCAGTTAAATATTAGAACTTCAAAATAGTAAATATTAAGATTTTTTATATCAACTAAATATCATATTATTTCAGCTTTTATGAAATTCCTTTCAGCTTTCAAAGAAAATGTTCTTAGTAAAAGACCTGTCCTTTAACAGTCCTGTGAGTTGTTGCTTAATTCAGATTTAACTGTAGTTTAATTTTATCATCATAATGTCAACAAATTATTATAAAATATATCATTTAAGTGACCATAACCACAGAGTGACTAATGTACTAGCTATGGATGAATACAGAATTGAATGCCAACCAAAGTAAATTTTAAGGTATGTTTGCTTGTATTTATTGTGGTAAGTAGCTTTATTACAGCATCCTGCTAATAATGTTATAATAAATTTGGGGAAGAAAATTAGATACAAAAGCAAATAAGAATATTGTTTAGCATTAAGCCATCAGAGCTGAAATTTTCAAGATTACAGGTTATTTTCTCATCTCTCTCTGTTTATTTGTAAAGAAACCTAAATGTGTATTTTTGTCCACTTTAAAAAGGAATTTTCACACAGAAAGGAAACTAATGTCTAAGCACTTTTATAGAGGAAATATTTTTCAGGGCCATTTATTTTAGTGTTCCCTTTGCTTTTATAGCAGATATGCTCGTTTAACACCCAGTTTCTTCATCTGCTACATTGTGCAGAGAAACCATAGAAAGATAAAAACATTGAACTATTTAGCAATGCTTTCTTAATTGGCAAATATATGTTCTCAGCAAGATAAAAATAAAAGGGCTTGTGCTTGTATGGTGATTACACAACAATAATTCTTCCAGTATGAGAATTTAAGAGCATCGCTCTTGTATGTAGAGTTCTTTTCATTTGAGTTAATCTAGTGTAACTGAGAGAAAGCAGTAATCAGTGACGAACAATGTCATTTTGAGATTTGTTTGTTTAGTCCATACTGGTTTTTAGTTTGATTTTATAGATGTTGAATGGATGGAGGACTACGCTTTCAGATATTCTGAGCTGTTCTGTTGGTCTTTCTGGTCTTCAAGCAAAAGGCAAAACTCTTCTTTAGCAAATGAACCATAGAGTGAGGCTAGTTTACCTTGAAAAGCTGAAGAGAAGACAAGAAAACTGAAAAGAAAATGAAAGTAAACTTTAAATTGAAAAGGAAGCTTTCAAAAAAATAGAAAGGAAAGATAAATCAGCCTAGAGGTTGTTTTTTTTAAGTGTGGTGGAAAAAAATCTGAGCTCAATGTTTGGCTTCTATCTCTCGATTTTTATATACTGGTTGGAGCTGGGTCATTTATATTTAGCCCCTCTTGGGAGGAAGTACCTCATGTTGGTAAATGGTCAGTACTATGGCTTGACTAGAAGAAAGATTCATGGGTTCTTTTTTAATTAATTCCAATATAGGAAAAAATTCCTTGTGCTTTCTGAAGTGACAGGAAAGTAATATTAAAATTGCTTAAAAGTGTTTGGGCTTTGGAGGGATTTAAAAGCTTGTTTTGAAGCTTTTATTTAAGTCATTCTTACTATGTGAACATATATATGTAATTGTGTAGTCCATGATCATGCTGTTTTATTTTGTTGTGTTAAGACTTTTGAATTTGTCCTTTGAATAGTGATTTTCTTGCAGTTGATTTGGAGCTGAGTATGTAAACTTATAGTGTCTCAGCTTAACCATAGCTTTGTGCAAAAACTATTATTTTGAAAAACATAGTTGTTTAACCAGTTTGCATAAAAGCATTATGAATAAAATCCTTGGTTATTTTATACAGAGTTCCTGTCCTTAATTTTTTTTCTGCTTGAAATGATGATAGGATTACATACAAAGCTGATTTTATAATTAGTTGAAAAATTTCCTGTCAAACCTGTATATAGTGAACACAAATGAGATGTTTTATCTGATGTTTTTAAGCACAATCTGTATTTAAATTTCTCTTGTATTTACAATTAAGGATGTAGACTGATTTATACAATTGAATTACTTTTGAGGTTAGATAATGAAGGTGTACTTGCTTTTCTTTATCTTCAGCTCATCTGCTTTGGGTTTAACATATCTTTTTGAAAAAAGGCATATTTGTAAAGGCTATTAAGTTTTGTTTGACCTTCCTTTCTGTTTAAGGTATTCACTGGGCCCTAATGTGAAGTTATGATCCCCAAGCCTGATTGATATGTAAACATAACACAGATGGTGTAGAGATGATTCTGATGATAATTCATTTTTCAGCTAGTCATGAAGATACTTTGATTACAGTGTGTTTAAGTAATTATAGCATAGTGTTCAGTGTTAGTCTTGTCAGTAAGGAACACATGGGAAACAAGTTACACGTTATTCGTACCCAACAAAGGATGCTCTGTGGTGTGACCATTTTAATTTCTAATGCTAGATTAGAAACATAGTATTTTAAAATATGTCACAGAGTAAGGTAAATACATTAAGCATAGACTGAATAAAAAGTTAAGTACATAGTTTGGGGCATAAATATTTGTTTTGGAAAGTATTTGTTGCTGTATGAAAGAAGCCACTATGCTTGAATTCAGATTTCACTTTGCATGCAGATCGTTAAAAAGTCACATGCTTGTTTTCACGTTTATATGAGTTCTGGTTATAGTGTAGTTTACTTTATCTTCTATAAGCATTTTGAATGACAGTGCTGAGAAGAAAATAAACAATATTAATGAGATTTAGTTAGAAAACATATTCTGTCTTTACATGATTTGTTCATACCCATCTGCTATAGTAAGCAATGTTTACTGAATATGTTGATGGCAATTAGCTGACAATAAAACACAAGCAGTTACATAAAGCAAAACAGTATGTTAAAGAAAATTATACCAATATTTCTTAAAGCAGTGTTCCAAAAAACCTGATATAATTTAAAATTTAACATTGCCTACTCCATAATTAATTATCTCTTTTTTTGGTCTGTTTCTGCAATAGGATAATTGACCGTCTAGATGGAGTTCGTTTGTTATGGTCATTGTTGAAAAATCCTAATCCAGATGTTCAAGCAAGTGCAGCTTGGGCTATTTGTCCTTGCATTGAAAATGCTAAGGTAAGAGAGGATTTAAAGTAATAGTTTTGTTATATGTATACTCACATATAATTTTTATATTTGGATGATTTCCAGCAATACTATGCTGTTTGCTACTTACCCTCTCTTTATTTCACTCTGTTAACTGCTTAAAAAAATTGCTGTATTCACTTTTCAAAAGTGAATAGTCCTCCATCTAGCACTCATTATAGCATTCTGTTTTGCCTTTACAGTGCTTACTCTATTTGGAAAATATGTTTTAATAACTTATCAGGACCTAAACTTACTGTTCCGAAATAAAGCATGCTGAAAATCTGACAATGCTGAAAACAGAAAGCTTCTACTCACAAGCTATGAATAGCACAGGTAGTTGTAGTTGTTCTCCACTATGAGGTACTTCAGCCATGTTCTCAAGAGACCATCATTTGGTTTCAGAGCATATTTCAGACTCAGTGCCAAGGTAATCCTTAGATTTTCTGCTCAGACTGCCAACAAAAAGTGCCAGTTGTGAATAGTGGTTGTTGTGCAGGTCAGTTGTGCACAGAAGACCGAGCTATTCATTTATTTCATGTAAGTTTCCAAATAGAGATAAAATGGTGAGTATAAGCTGTAAGTCATCTTCAGTGAATTTTTACCACTGACCTGTGGTAAAGTAAATGGGGAAGGTTTTGTTTCCCATTAGAAGTTTCCTAGAATACTAAGTAGACTTTTATCCTTAATCCTTGTAATCTTGTACAGCAATATCTTGCATTTCTATCTACCTCCATATGTAATGCAGCTTTTGCATCTTCTCTCTACTATACCACAAAAATATATCCTTCTACATATCATTTGAGATCCTGACTATGTAAAGAATGGAAATTCCTTCAAAGTGCTAGATATCTTGAGCAGGCAGTGTTTCCTATTTGAAATTGAGTACTGTATGGTTGCTATTAATTTATATAGATGGATGAATGTAGATACAGATACATGGATGAAAGTGTTGTGAGAACATTTGTTCTTGATTTTTATAATTTAAGCATTTTCTATTTCTTCATAATGATTTCTACAATCGCAGCTTGCTTGCTGTTTTTCAGACATGCTGGTTATTCTGAATTGTCTTTCTTTTTTTTTAAAATGTATACTCTAGTATAATGAAATTTTTTGTTACCTAATGGTGGGGTGTATATATGTCTCCTCTGTCAAGATATGACTATACCTGTGTCTCTCTTGAACAATATTGCTATAACTGAATGTTAAAATATTACTTTATCTCAGTACTGAGGTAGTACTTATTATGTATAAGACTCTGCGACCTGTAGTGCCAGAGCAGAACTGTACATTGCTAGACCTTCCACTAAAAGCACTTTTTCAGAAACTAAGGGGATAGAGGACAGCTACTGAAATTACAGACTACATGGATTTTTTTCTTGTTTTTTTTCCCCAGGATATTTGATGAGTGTAAGCTATGTACATCCTTAGTGTAGCTATCCTCCTTTCATCTCTCTTGGCTGCCTGCCCAAATGCTAATCTGTGACCCCACAAAGAGTTCTTTGTGTGAGACTGAGGCAGAGCGGCACACTGAAACAAACCTACCAATAATACCCTTTCCTCTGACACTGAATGGAAAGAAATATGTATAAAGCAGCAATTATAGCCACGCTGTGGAAGTGCAGTAACTATTTCTACCTAAACAAAATACTGATTTTTTTATTCAAAGTTAATAATATTCAACAATTTACATGATCTTCCAAGAGGCACAGTTTCGTTTATGCGTGCTTGATTCAAAAGCAGTAGTAAGTATATGACTTTAAAAGGATTATGTGCATTCAGGCTTTTCCAAAGCTGTGCTTGGGACTGCAAACCATGTTTCAAATAGCTGTGATCTTAGAATCTGGATTTGTTTTCTTTTTGTGTTCTTTTGTGGAAGCTGTAGTGGTTCTCTTTCATAGTGTGGAGGTTCATAGATGAAATAGAACTTGTTAATAGTATCAGAAACAAATCTTTATAACAATGTAGCGCAGCATCCATTTTTTCTGCACAGACATTTTCTGTGCATCCAACTTAAAGGCTATTTTCTATGATATGTATAAAATCTTAGAAGCCAATCTATCATACTGGTAGGGCTGTTATTGTCATAGTATGTGAGTACATGATTATCTCTCATGCACTTACTCTCACCATAATCTGTTTAAGATTCAAAAGTCTACCATTCCTGTTTTACCATTAGGGGAATAAGAGTCACAAAAGGCCAAGCCTTGTTTTCTTGAGATGTTTAGGTGCTACCCAGTTTTGAGCTTTTGGGTCTAACTAGTTTGCCTGCTATTAGACGGGAAGTTAATTGCAAAGGGAGCAGAATCCAAGTTCTTGTAACCCTAGATGATATATCTTGACAGTTGCATTATGGTAGCTGGTTCAGAGTACTTCCCATAGAATCGAATTGTATCAGTATGATATAGCGAAGTGATATTGTCTGTTACAGCAATACGATATAGGTTGGTGATACTTGATCCAGGACAGATCTAAGACTTTTTAAATAGAGGATATAAATTGTACGCTGTAGTACATAAACTATTACAGCTCTGACAGACATAATACTGGTTTGGTATCAGTCATCACTTTGGTATTCTGGCATTAGTTCTAAATATTTTTAGCCTTAAGAATTTCTTGTAGAGTGAAGATCTTACAGGTAGGCTGGCAGTGATATAATTTGGGTGGTAGAACTCTCCTGAGAAAATTTGCACAGAAGCTGTGAGTGCTACTTGTGAGTCTTAGACAAATATCTCATGATTTTGCATAAATTAGTTCATACATTTCTTTAAAATATAAGACTTAGAGACAAGAATGTCATTTATTCAAAGGAATTATCTTAATAGAAGCAGATTCTTATTAATTAGTTCCTTACTTCCAGAAGGAAAGTTACTACTGCAGTCACATTGGTAATGGCAAAGTGTAATTGCACTGTCCAAGAAACACAAATGATTATGAAAAATGGCTAAGAAAAGTCTACTCAACTCTGTTGATGTTGGAACAGCAATATTTAGTTATGATGCTTCTTTGAAAAATGGTATTTATAATGTTCTCCCAACATACATTGGCCCAAACAGAAAAATTTAGAGAAACTCTACAAAGATGTTATTTGGGCTATTATAAAATTCATCCAAAGGCCTTGTGCCATAAGAGGAACACTTCCAGCTTGAGTTTGTATGAAAATACCTATTTCCTCACAGAGTAACCTTTAAACAGAATGTCTTGAAATAAATAAAAGAAAAGAAAAGAAAAGAAAAAGTTGTAGAGGTTATTTTTCATCCTCATATTTAGTAGAGTTTTAGGTGCAAACAAGAGAAGGAATGGTAATGTCAGTCATCATCTTTTGCACTGTCCTTTGTCTGTGCTTGCGTATCAGCTTTCAACTTTCAAAGTTTCAGTTTTAGCCTTTACAACTGTAAAGGCTTTCTTAAAGAACTTCAGGAAGCCAGCTACATATAAAGTCTGTCAAAGTAATTTAAGTGGACAGTCTGAGACTGTGGGGTTGAGAGAAGAGAGGGAGAAAGTTATTCTATTTTCTTATAATGTACTTGTAAAATGACATCTCACACTTTGATAAAGCATGATTTCCACCCCCACCAAGTTATTGCCTCCCTTTCAGCTCTGCAGTGGAATTTCATGGGTGTGATGAAGGATGATCAGCCATCTGAAGTTGTCTGTGTATTTCCTACATACAGGAAAAGAGAATCTCCATGCTGACACAAAAAAACCCAAATCAAAACTAAACCAGGTTTAAGAGGGAAAGGAAGGGTCATGAGATCAGTATGTGTGAAGGTCAAGTAGCCTTCACTCTTGCAAAAGTATTATATACTGAGGAAGTGACTTCTACTGGAGCCAGCAGTCTGGAGTTAACCTGTGGGTGGAAAATATGCTGCTGATGACCCATGCTATTTAGGATTCTTACATAGATTTTGCTTGTTATGGAAATTTTAATGTAACCATATGTATAAAACCACAGAGAACATTTCTTTACTAAAAGTAACAAAGAAATGTAGTTGAACTTGGAAATTCTTCTGATATTTAGCAAATAGTAAAATTATTTGCTGTTTTAAATGAATTAAGATGGTTTGTTTACGCGTTTTCCTAATTTTAAGCTGTAGTGTGTAAAGATCAGTCATGCCCCATAATGCACACTGTTGTTCATTTGTTTTATATTTTAAAATTTTACTTAAGTAGTACCAATACATTTTTGTTTATGTACCATTCTTTTGTTAAGCCTATAATGTCAAAATTCCCTACTTGAGTATGTACAGCATTTTCCAGTTTCTTTGTTTTCCTTGCTATGCTTCTTGCAATTCTATACAGAAACCTTGGCAGTTCAGACTTAGTGCTTTTACTGCTTTCCATTTTCCTACTTGTTTTCTCTAGACACTATCATTTTTAACATCAGTCAGTCATATCTACTTCTCTAGATTTGATCTCATTTTTATGCAGCTTTTAATCCCTGATATCTGGATGTAGACTTTCCAAATTTTTAAGAGTTTGTTACAAAGTAAACTTCAAAAGAATACTATAAGAGAGACAAAAGGGAATTTTTGGCTTGCCCCTCAGGCCTTCCAGAACAGCAGGGTCCTTGGAGATTTAGGAAGCCCAGGAAGCCAGAACTGACTTGGTGAATCCATAGCTGGCTGCCATGCTTGACAGGGTATATGCAGAACTAGCCTGTCCAATGATTTTTGACACAGGTTGCCTAGAAGTTTAGTGAACCTACTATCAGGAGTTGTTTGGGCCTCCTATAGACATGTTACACTACCCTGGAGATCCTGAATGGACTGACATAATTTGCCCTGAGGTCCTTAATGTCTGCAAATATAGGAGACCAGTTCCTGTAACAGACATAACCTGAAAGCTGGGAAGCAAAGGGAAACTAAGAGCCTAACCCATATCTCCCTCTTTGGGGAGCCTCAGGTCCTAAGTTCCATGCAAAATAGCTGCCTGAGAGCTTGGAGACCATAAGAAGCCAAAAAGCTTAGGAGCTCCTGGAGACCTGGCTT